ATATATATATATATATTGTGTTGTAGTATTTATATATATATATATATATATATATATATAAATTGCAATTAATAATATGTACATATGTATTAATCTGCATCATGGCTGGAGCATAGGAATCAATTGTCTTACGGCGGTTTTACGGTCCCGGACGAAAATGCCGTCAGATTAATACAAGAAGGCTCTATAAATCGCGATCGCTAAAAGACTACTTGCATGGCCGATATCTATGTATAGACCGCTGCTATAGGACTTCGCCCGAACACTGGACGCAAAACCAACCACCGACTATATATACTATCGATGAGAAAAGTTCCATTGTTCCAACATGGAGCCGTTAATATCTCTGTGTATGCTAATAAAACGAGTGTCGTCATTGATACGAGTCCTTGTGAAAAGTGTCGCTCTTGTGGAAGATCCTCCGTCCTTCTCTCGTAAGTTCCTCACTCGCGAAATTATTCTCCGACTTTGGTCTGGGTAACAGACAAGCCGGCAGCGTTCTAAGCTCCATACTATGCACCTGATAAATAATGACAAAAAATGTTAAAAACCCACATTTATTTTTGGAAAGGTACAGAAAACTCTAGTACTTATTTCGAGAAATGAGCAAATTTGGAAAGCAAAATATAATATATTATGAAGAAAAACTTGCATTTTCCTCCAGCTAGAAATAAATCGCATAACATTAATTATAACAGACCTCGTAATCACCATTCGATCGTGTACTTACCGATTCTTCGCTGGCGCTGGCATGCGCGGCCTGTTCCGCGAGCGCGTTCACCACAGCGTTTATCGTTTTTGATTCACTGCCAAGATCCTCCTCGCGATGAGCCACCAGATTAGGATTCTTTCCGATTTTGTTTAGCCTAAAAGAAGAGAATGATTAAGCGTAGGGAATGTCGCATGAGGCGTTGTTCACACCAAATTCTAAACCACTTAGCAGCACAGTGATTCATCCGCTTCGTGGCACGTTATCGCGCTTGCCGCTTATCATCTGTACTCAACAGTTATTGTTATATGTTCGCAATACTACTTGCACTGCTAAAGGTAGTTGAATGAGGTAAACTAAGAAAATAATTAATACTATCTTTGACACACACTGACCACCAAGTCTCTCCAGGCTCGTCGGCCCATTGACTCACGTCATCGCAACAGAAGAATAGAAGAAAAATCTCAAATTTTGATGTACAATAGTTTTTACATTCTGTATAAGGTGCTCTTCCGTCGCGAAAATATTTCTGCGACATTCTTCAATCTTCAACAACATTGTCAAGAAGATAAGTTACAATTGATAGTATGATTTTCTCTAGAATTAACGTTGCATAATAATGACTCCGCGGATGTGTGACAAAAATAATACTTCAAATAATTTGTAAAGTATGTTATGCCAAATTATGAGTATAATATTATCATGTAATGAATGTGTCGAGAGTGTAAAACTTTTGCCACTTTGGCGTTAAACTGCAATCGTTAGTCATTCAATCGGGTAATATCCGACTTGATTAAATATCCACCGCTATATCGGACATTCCCCCATGTATGCGTACAGTACATGCATACTGTAAACTGTAAATTCTTACAATTCAATTCCGGCGTACTAGCCGTATCAGAGATATTTCGAATAAATTTAACCCTCTCAACTCATTGCAAACATCCTAAGTTAGTGCGCTTTCATCAGAAACTTGTCCCAGATTCTTCCCTGAATTCTGCACTGTCTCGTTTTATAGTCGAAAAACACAATTTATGGCAATACTTGTTTAATTCTTTTCTTTTTCTTCTTTCAAGTCAAATTTGATTGACATGTGTGTGTATGTGTATGTGTAAAACAAGCGTCGAACTCTAATAACACATACGAGAATCGATATGTTTGAGGAAAGAGAGAAAGAGCGAGCGACATGATTTCAACAGGCGGCAAATGACTGATCTCCGTTTTGTCGGACAGTACACAATGCTCAAATAAAGTAGAATGGAAGTGGGAGTGATGATTGACATCTATTAGCACACCAACTCGATAGAACAAACCTAACCAAAGCTTATACCTCTCGGCGGCAACGCTCTCCATTGTTCTGCGCATTAGTGGATACTGGTCCAGCACGACGTTGAAATGATCCACCGAGAGGCTGAAGAGATTGCAATAGGTCTCCGCTCGGACCGATGCTACTCTCCTCGCGTTTGTCAACAGACAGATTTCGCCGAAGTAAGATCCGTCCGACAACGAAGTCGCGACTTCTCCATTCGCCATTACGATATCGACTATGCCTTCTTGTATAAAGTACATTTTCGAGCCGATAGTACCTTCCTTAATGATGATATCACCTGTAAGTTTATTCCCGTTTGAATAGCACGCACGAATCTTGAGCGCTGCGCCTTACACGCCGCGGGAAATACCTTCCCGTGCCGTCACGTTAAACGTCACGTTAAACGTGTACATGTGTTTATCTATGCGATAGAAAACGCATTTAGCGATAGTAACAATCGATATACCTGGCTGGAAGACTTCGTATCTGAGTTTCGTGACGACATCCGAGACGAAATTCGAATCGGCGTTCGCGAAGAAGGGCACGGACGCCACCAGCGATCTGCAGTTGTAGTTTATCACATCCTACAAGCAAGTGATGCAAATTTTGTACAACTTTTGTCTTCAGCAAAAGATATGGAAATTGTCCCGAGTATTGTATCCCGTAAAAAGATGTATTACATTAAGTTTAAATTTTTCGTCCGTCTTTTTTTCAGGAATGATTACCACGCATAATCGGTATATATACCGGTATATAATCGATAATATCGGTAGTTGAATCGGTAGTTAATTTAAATATTTCACATGTATGTATCTTATCGTACTTCTCTCAATTTTTCCGAGAGTTCTCCAAGAATTAGCTCCTCATCGAAGAACTTTCCTTGGTAGCGATGTTCGAAGTACTCCGTGATTCTTTGTCTCATTTCTCTCGGTAGTTTTCGATAGGCCATGTATTCCTCTACTTGTTTCACCTACGGGGGAAAAGAAATTTAATTTCGGCCAATTTCGAGCGAATCGTATTATTAGTCGTCTTATCTCCTTCTAACCTACCTTCTCGCGGTATTGTCTTCTCGAGGAATCGAGGGATTGAATGAGATTCGTCGCGTGTCCGAGGAAAAGAGCGTAGCACGTCGCACCACTGATCATACTGAGCATGGTCAGCCACATGTCGGTTAACGATTGTGGCGGAAACCTACCGTACCCGATACACAGCATGTGCGACATAGCTTTGAAGAGAGCCCACGAGTATTGCTCCAGCCAGAATGAGTCCTGCAAATAAGCGTAACATGAGAATGCATTGGTCATGCAATTGTTTATTTTGTCTTTCATATTAGCAAAATTAAAAAAGATATATGAGGTTAAAGGTTTGGAAAAAGTTTATGAGAAAGAATTTATTTCTTTTATCTGGAAGAAAATAAGGATAAGATGAAATCGATTTTTTAGATGAAGAAATATATAAATATACGAATATTATTTTCTCATTCTTTCTTCTTTTTCTTTTAATTTTTAATTATACTCCACAATGTTTGTTAGTTGCGATGCAGCCGATTTATTCAAGTGACAACGCTGATTACTTACCTGTAACTCATTAATGGCTACCCATGAATTACTGGGAAAACCTTGAAGCATAGGGACCAAAAATTGCAGACAGCCACTCCAATGGCCGATTAAGAGCATCATACAGATCAGGTTAAATATCCGCATGAACACTGACGCCATATTCAGGAACTGCCAACAACAATGATAGAGCTTTACTTTCGTGCCGGATCAGACGCGTCTGAATGTTTTTCATACTTTTTGGTTTTTAAAACTTCTCTCATTTATCCAAAAGCTCCGACTGCGTTGTGTACAGCAAGTAAGCGAGTGTTGCACAAAAACGCATTAGATATATAATTCCTCGAGTACACTGTTCTACTCTTGTCCTTGTTTGTTACTTAGGTTACTGAATAAACTACGTAACGAGATCCGACACTAAGATCCGATCATTTTTCGATAGTTATTTTACCAAAAATTTTAACACACGTATAAATTGCGCGGAGAACAAGTCTGTTTAACCCTTTGATCAATAAAGTATACATATCTCTCTATGATGAAGGATAGTGAATTTTTACAACATTTTTTTATTTGGAATCGAGATATCTTCGCAGTACGTTTCAAAGATTAATTTAATTTGACGGATTAACTGGCTTAATTGATTAAAGGATTGATATTTTGTTCTTGATAAATGTGCGCGCGCGCGTGTGTGTGTGTTAAGCAAGAATCAATGTTGAGATCAATATTCAGATCTTAGCGCGGATAGTTTGTATGAGTATTATATTTTTCCTAAATTATCATCACCGTTCATAGTCTCGAGATTCTTCTTTCTTGTCCGTTAAGAAAAGCATGCTACATTAGAAAATACGCATCACATGGCACACAAAAGAACAATTTAATGTAACCTAAAGACGTTGATAAATAATTGGTTATTCTACAAATGCTCTAACAAAAAATATCAATCATTTCCAACTGGTTGGGCCAAGATTCTCAAACCACTTATGCGCCAAATGTAACAAAGAAAAAAAAAGAAAAAAGGAAACCAAAAAAAAAAAATGAAAAACACAATCGACGTTTATCTAATAACGTCGTTGCAATCTGTTTGGTTTCGAAATAAATTGTAGTCATTTGATTCTATCGTGTGCGCAATAAGTATGATATGGGAATCCGTCTGTACTAAAATTAAAGTCGGAGAACGCGGAGAACATACCGACAGGACTAAATTGAGAAGTTAACTCTGTTTGTGATTTTAGTTTATTTCAATCTTTGAAGGTTGAGCGTTTTTCGAGAAAACTGCTTTTCTCTCAGCGATTCTGTGCAACGCCCGTTGGGTGAATAAGTGATTTGTATCCTTTTTTCTTAGTTACTCTTGTGTTAAAATCGAATATTATTAAACAGATAATTCCAACAAGTAACTTTGGTATTTTTAGTCAAAGCCATCCGTATGTGACTAATTTTAATACAATGCAACAAGTGAAATAAGCCTCTAAACATAGATTCACGATATCATATAACTTATTTTTACCCAGTGTAGAAATTGGAAGTGATTTCCATCGAAAATTCAAGAAATTCATCTCTCCTAGGCGCAATTGTAAATTTATTCGACAGATTAATTTCATTTTACTCGTCAAGTATTAGCAATACGATTGATAAATTACTCGAAGAGTTGGTGTCGGATAGTCTCAGCGTTCTTCTGTTAATCGAAAAATAATGATGGAATAATCATCTAAAGATCGTCAAAAGTATCATGAAGTGCGCGATTCAGTTTATGGATATGTACATAACGTATGTACATGTATGGTGATGACATATATATCTGTTTCCGCGCACGTATGCGCGCGGCATTCGCAACGAAACACGACAAATGCGTCGCGATAATGAGTGTGTCATGCACCGCGGTATTTCGAGAAATTCCGTTCAAATGCCTTGCCGGCGGCGCAAATAAATTTTATTATGACACCGTCAAAGCATATGTGATGGAAAATTTCCCATATCCGGCTTCGTTATGTGCGACGATGAACAGGAGTTTCCGAACTTAAGCAGTGCGCTTGCCCAAACACCCGCAAAAATGGTCTTGACACGAGTCTTCAAGTTTTTAATCTTTTTATAGTCTGCTATTTATCATGTTTAAAAGTTTCATACTTTCAAGTTCACTTTAGATTTATAATTCACGACAGACATAGGAGATGAAGATAAAATTCTATTAATAATTTTATGTGCCGTCTAAATAAGAAACATTTGGAAAATCAGAATACACAATCAGGATACACATACAAAATGTGTATCGGCGATTGTGAAATGTGTATACCAATCCTTCCAAAAAATTTCCTTTGTTATATAAAATTATCAACTGATTTGTAATACCTAACTGAAATAGGTGTCAATCGCGTGAATTATAAATCATCTAGATCTGGGTTTTCTAACTAGTAGGTTTTATATATTTTTGCGAAGAAGAATTTAATAAAAATTGTCTTAGAATTTGTTGATAGATCTAAGAACAAAATGAAGGAGAACTGAAGCTATTTATGGGGATCTTGTCGAGTCTTGGGCAATCGCGGTATAATGATCTTGAAATCATACGGCTGTGGGACCTGTCCCCTATATAACACAGTTAGGTAATTACTCTTGCACTTAACCGCAAAAGTGACAGAGCCATTGCAGTACTAACATAATGACATAATGACGTACAATAAGCTCAAACAGATATGTCTTACATTGCTGAAGACAGATAACTTAATTTCCTACGTTTTGGAACAATTCCATACATTTGTTCTTTACACTTTATTGCGATAGAGTTGTAAATGCTGCGATAAATGAAAATTCTCAAGTCACACATTAGAACAATTAATATCACATTACGTTACATTTAAAGTAAGAAATGAATGAACAAACGAGCTCCATCTCAAATCTAATGATAAAAAATTGTTTTTATCCATATCAATAAGTTAATATTTGTTCTTAAAATTGGACGATTGCGTCCAAGTAGGTTGCCCAGCTTTATCACTCGTGCGATTGCAATGACCTCTCCGTCATCAAAAGATCGCATTTACGTAGTCATCGTAGATAGAGCTATTGGGATTTAAGATTGCAATTACATAGAAGGCGGTGAAAGAGAGATGATGCATCGCGATGCGTCCAATCGCCGTAGGATTTCGATGAAGCGTGGGGAGCTTTGGTTATCTAAATGCGATAAAACTTTACGGGTACTAGTATCTATTAATGGTGTCGTGGCACTCTCCATGGATAATGATCAATGATACTGTTTCTGCGCCTACGGGAAACAAGTAAGAACACGGGAAACTTACTACTAGATAACACATAGCTCAATACATTACCTGTCCTACAAGTAAAGATCGTGTATATACGTGTAACATACACGTACGCACGCACACGCATACCTATACCGTCAGTGTTGTAATAAACAATGCTACAGCACAATGCGACGCATATGTATGCGAGTGGCGTGGCTCTTGAAACCAATGAAAAAGAAAAGGCGGTACGCTTAAGATAAACGGGACACCGTAATTCAACATCGACCTTCTTTTCTACGAGACAGTCACAAGTCTAGTAAAGATAAAAGCTTGATTTGTTATATCATCACGATGATGAGTAAACAATCAACGATCAATGAGTCAGCAATGAATACTAATTAACGGATGGCGATTGTAAGTGGCAATACAACGAATGTTCTAAACGACATCGGAACAAAAGTGAGTACGTAAACTAAAAGACACAGAGAACAACCGACGAGGAACGAGTCCGCGAAAAAGAGATGTTTGTCGTGGGCTTCGGACTTGGGCCGTTTTGAGATATATAATTGAGTGATTATTGAGCATTGTGAGCGTTATGAGGGACGAACGAACAAAACGCAACTGCCAAATCAAACAACGATGTTGTTAAGCGGCGCAAGGCAAGCCACGAAGCAAGAAAGCGGATCTTGGCTCTCTCATCATCCGTTTTGCGTTTTTATTCTTTATGGTTTTGCATAAGCACACATAGATAACCAGCCAGTATTACGCAGAATAGAGTGCACTTTCTCGAGAAGCAGCAGAGACAGAGAGAGAGAGAGAGAGACAGAGAGAGAGAGAGAGAGAGAGAGAGAGAGAGAGAGAGAAAGAGTGGGTAGCAACAACGGGGGCGGCTCGCGCAAGACGTGCTTGGCGAGGTACCAAAATGTAAGGGTGAAAATTATTCGCAGAGCAGCGACACAGAGGAAGCGAGCTCTCTACCCTTTGTACACATTGCACCCTAATTGTTATTTTCCTTGCGTTGTGATTTGTGTTTTATTTTTTTTTCTACTTCTTTTAGTACTTTTCTTGAAATAGCTATGTGTCATAGATACGGCAAATACAGTGGTGGTGCGATTTGCAACAAAGCGACAGAGAAGGGACGCCCAATCACGTGCGCTCGTTTTCACAGGATCGTGCACACCGTCTAGCGATCAAAAGCATTTTAAGATATAGTGCGTGGAGACAGGCTGATTGCAGTTGTCCATTGGGGTATTGAAGGACTGGATGGTGGGAGTGTTCAAGACGGAAGCGAGAGAAATTTAGGAGATGTGGACGATACAATAAACAGTTACGTAGCGAACGAGAGGAAGTTTGAATTGAGAGAAAATATAAAGATACATACATACACACTCGTATGTGTGTATGTATGCGCGCGTATGTAGGTATGTATGTATAATATATACACACACACCACACACTCCACACACACACACACACACACATACACACTTATAAAGAGACGAAGGAAAGAGGGAAAAGGTTCCACGAGTATGACGATCGCTCGAGTCGGACATGTCACACCTTTCGACAACCGATTCTCGTTCGTTTTACAGAGTGCACGTGTTGAATATCGCGCCAATCGACCGACGATCATTGAATATTCGGGTCTCTATATCTGCGAGGTGACGCCGTGCTGGCAATGTAGCACATATTCATAATCAAGCTCGGACATTTTCTTCATTTATATATATATATAATATATATAAATATATATATATATATATATATATATATATATATATATATATTTTTTTATAAGGTTCTTTAATATATAAGTCACACACATAGTTACATGTACTTTCTCATCGCTAGGCGGGTGCCGATGGTGAATGTATAGAAGCATAGCCTATTGCTGCTGCGGGTATATGTAATATGTATAATGCGGCGGAAAGTAAAAGCTGAATGTTTGTAATAAACCAACGAGCCAATCAGCGTACAGCTTCTCCGTCCAATTAGCCTCGTTAGCCCCGCACCTGGTTTTTGCGAGACACCGACAGAACGGCAGTCGATCGGTTTAACACAATCGATTTATACACAATGTCATATATTGTCTTTGGCAAGGATTGATTCGTTTGATAAGATATGTCAACTCAATTTTGAGGCAAAAATTACGAGATTTCTATATTGTTTGGAATATTTTACCACGATTTGCATTTGTAACACTGAAGCGACACTCTCTAAGCGTATAATATATATAATATCAATCATTTTTTCTTATTTTCATTAATGTTACATTCAACATTTACATGAAAATTATTATTAAAAAGGTATTATAACGCGAACACGATAACTTTTTATTGTCGGGGATTTGATAACTGTTAATCAGATGCCGGTCAGCAAGGAGAAGGTGAGTCAGGAGAATCGACTTCCTTCTATCGAGTCTCACGGTGGATGGGGAATCGGCGAGGTTAATTCGTGGTGCGAATCGAATGGACGTGAGCTCGCGCGTTCGTCAGGGCGGGTTACCTTAAAAATAAGTTCGCTTTTGCTGAAACCGGACTTCTTTTTAGTCATATTGTCAGAACTTAGGCGCCCCCTCCGCTCAGTGCGTTTTTTTTGTAGGTTCTGCAATATCTAGAAACAAAAGAAAGCGGGACATAGCCAGACATAGTAAGAAGAAGGCAGGTTAGTAGAAATTTCGCAGGTTAATAGAAACTTCACAGAGAACAGGAGAAAAAGAGGTGAAAGTAGTAGTGTAAGAAAGAAGAGGAATCAGAGGTAGAAACGGAGTGAAAGTAATAGAGAGGAGAGAGGGAGAGAAACGTCGGTATAGACGTGTGTATATATATATATATATATATATATATATATATATTAGTCGATAGTTGCAAGATATAAAAAGACAGTGATACAATGATGCAGAAGTAAGAAATAGTATAGGAGCAGATCGTCGGGTGGTTACAAAGTCGATTTTCTTCTTGTAGGGACAGAAATTTTTGTGTAGAGTGGCCACGTAATACAATGAACGCTGAAAGGCAGTCCCATCCCTAACGTATCGTCTCGTCGCAATATGCGGTCCATTAGGTGTGCAAAGATAATAATAATAATATCATCACGTTCTCAGTACACCCGTTGAATCAGGTCTTACAGGTCTTACAGATCGATTATGTGCTGATTACGCTAGTTTACCGATAAAATAAAAAAGAAAGAAAAACAAGAGACGATTTAAAAAGTATTGCTATTCTACTTTTTATCTTCTTTTTTCAAAAATTATAATACTGACACATACAAATGCACAAGCAGAATTAATAATTATATTAGGTATCAGTGTATTAGTATCGATGTAGATCTGCTCACGTAGCTTTGCTCACGTGTAACAACCGTCTGATATCGAAGCGATCGATCGATTGCACGGGTGGGGAGATCGGTAAAGTGTGAGTAAAAGAACATAAGTTTTAAAGAACAATTTCGGTGATGAGAGTGAGCATGTGAAAATACAGTTTGGGCAAAGGCTCGAAAATACCGTGACAAGAGTAACAGTTCGATGATCCGTGAATTAGATAATTAGTAATCGACAAGCCATTCGTTAATATCAAAGCTATCGAATCAGCAGTCGCGCGCCAAGCGTGAAGCCGCAGTTCCTTTTCAAGCTCGGATAAAGCTCGATGAATTAATTAGCGGATATATATATATATATATATATATATATATATATATATATATATATATATATATATATATATGGTGGTAGATTGTAAAAATCGCGCGATTAACCCATAATCATAAGCCTTATCTTGATTTCGAACGCATTCAAGTCTATCGGAATAACTTAACACGCAAACGGAATTGACTTGATAAATCGCAACATTGTCAATGTCATCTTTCACATAAATTTTGATTAGTATTGTTTTAATTTAAAATTGTACGGTCAAAATATAATCCAACTATGCACTGGAGAGAGAATTCGAAACTTTAATAGAAGGTTACTTGTTTCCCTTTGAATAAATATTTAATTTATTGAATTCTAATCAAAGAAGAGATTAAAAAAAAAAAAAGAAAATAGAACAAAGCGTGGAAAGTACATATTAACTTATTCTCCAGGAAGTAAAAAGATCGATGCGAGATTTGTATCGATGAGAAAGGAATGTGAGATATAAAAATTCTGCTCTTTGTGAAAGAATGTGTGCATATTGCTGCTCTGCTGAAAGAAATAATTTGTGACGAGATAAATACATTTAACGTATGCATTTAATGGAAAAACCTCTCATCTTTCTGAGAAACTGAATGCAAAAATCACGAGATGAAAGAAACTCGGATATTATTAGACTTTTTCGAAAAGTTTGCAGCACCAAGTGAGAAAACATCGTACAAGTTACACATTAATGATACACAGATTACGTCAAGGATACGCTCATTGATCGATCTCACAATATCGATTTATCGTATCGTATCAATGCATAATAATATTGCATCAAGAAACGTGATTTGCGCCGCGCGTTATAAGCGCGTGCTGCAAAAATCACGCGGATGTATAATTACGAATTTCTACGTGACGGTTATATGATTTATCTCTTCTCTTAATGTATAGGTACATACGTGAATACGTTTTAATTTGTATATTGAATGCCACCAGTACACCTAACCATTATCGCGACGGTTCGCTACTGTGCGACTATTAACTCTAATGTGCGTGCTCACATAAGTACTCTCGTGTTTGTCATTTGATTTAATTACGATACAAAAGGCAACTGAATGTTGAATGTTACGTGCCACGGTCGGAAAGCTTTTGCACTCCTTACAAAGAGCAATGCATTTTGGTGTTTTTAATTAATTGATTGAAGAATAAGAATGAACGCGTGGAATTTCTGTGTGTGATCACATTTCTAGTCATATTTTAATTTGTTGTAAAATAAAGTGTATATGTACAAACATAAAAGAAACGTTTGTCTTGCTGAAATATTTGATAAAAGAATTAGTAAAGCATATTTTTTTAATACATGAAATATTATTACGTAAAGTAAAGTAGAATCAATTAACAAAACATTAAATAATAAATAAAATGGATGGGCAAATAAATTTGTCTATAATATTATAACGATATTAATTCTTAGTATAATATATCTCCTATTTTCTGTATCTTTTTTTATATTTCAGGTTATGATCTTTTAATTATATATACTTTATCTATTTATTACAATATATTACTACAAATTTAATTGAGAAACAAGTATAATTAAAAATGAAAATTTTTTAAATCAAATAATTGAAAACTTGAGATAACATTATAAACTATTTTATGCTTTTTTGATGAGAAGTATAACAGTATATCATCGTAATTTTGCAATCTCCAGATTGATATCGCAGTTATTTTATTAGTCAAATTTAATTTTGTCTGACAAGTCTTATTCGACGAAAATACTGCAACGAAAGAAGAACGAAAGTCGTTCTTTTCCAGATCTAGTCTGCGATTAATCGACTGTCCACTCCTCATTTCCCGTCCTTTCGCGAGAATGACAGTACATTATATATTTTTATCTACACGATGTGTGTGTGTTTTGCAGTGTGCGTGTATGTGTGTTTTGCAGTATGCGCGCGCGCCAACACACACGTATACACGCACACGCCGTATGTATTTCGCGGAAAATATGATATCTTGCTTTCAACACGCGTCGGACTGTTCGAAGGAAGCTTCCTTTCGTATAAAACTTTTCATTCATTGCACAACAGACCGGGACGAAACTGCGTCATTGGCGATTCGCCGTGCGATCGCAAAGAAGCATCAATTCTTCAAAGAAACCAGACGTAAAAGACGCACGCGAAAGAGAAGAAACGTCAAATCTTGCTTGCTACGTATGTATCGGGTGGCGAGATCGGTAAAACGACCGCGCGCAGTAGTTGTAAGGATCAGAGCGGAGATCTAGCGATCGCCGATGGCGGCAAAAATAATGCCATGCTGGAAAGTATTATCGGCATATTACAATATAGATGTCCTCCTGAGACGAACAAAATGTGAAAGTATACAGATACATACGTGAGCAGAGATAAGTATCGACGGCGGTCTGCGTAATTGTACTCTCCATCCTGGCGGAAGTAAAAATGTCAAAATGAAAAAGGAACGAGATCGTAATCGCTTCCTCCTTGTTAAATCAGGCATATCTAAACAACATGAAACAACAAGCAACCAGAAATGAAACGTAAACGAGGAAACGGAAAATAATCGATGGGGCTAGGTTTACCATGGGAAGGGACCGAGGGGAAAGGAGTAAACTGTCAGGGGATAAATAAAATTGGGGATACACATTGAACATCGCCAAGAATTTCGGACAAATAGGGTTAATATACACCTAACACTCACAGGCAGATCTACGGTTAGATCAACCAACTTTTTCGTCTGTAGAGCGGTTCGTGTCGAATACCTCGTGGTAGAAACTTTTCGTCTGATTTACTTTCGTCTGATTTACTTTCGTCAGATTTATTTCACTTGGACTTGGTTACTAAAGACTTTTTTGTCAATATTTTCTCGTTTTACGACGAGAAGTATGTATATCCAATTGGATATAGCGATACGTAAGCGTTGATTTTTCGACAAATTCTCGATTCTTAATCATCACCGTGACCTCATGCGCTACCATTGTCAAAAAATGGTGCATCCGTTACATATATATGTATATACTAGCAGTACATTACATTCATGCACACGTATCTAGATTATGCAGACCGTTGTTGAAAGAACGTCGATAATCGCTATTGATACGGTAATGTACATGCGCACCTATGTCGTATCAGGCCAATAAAGTTATGCAGCTTATGGGGTCGATGATTGAGAATCGAGAATTGAGAAATTTGAGATGAGCATACAGCTTGAACGGCGATCGGCGCGAACATTCCGCGACTATGCAATTGAAACGCGATCAAATAGTATTCGACATGACCGATTCAGAATGACTATTCGTAATCACAAACTGAGATGTTAGTATACCTAGCAGAATGGAACTTTCCAACAAAACCCGACAAAAACAAGATAGCATTTCATACCAAAAAACCGTTCTCAAGAACTGTGGCGAGGAATCAGCTATTCGGTGAAACATGGATTTTAACAATATAGTTAGTATAGTATAGAAAACATCGTTACTAGGGCATAATACTGCAAGCGCAATCATCATTCTCCACTGATCAATACATACTGGATTCTTTTCAGCTAATATCGCATCTTCTAAACTGTGATCCATGTCACACGTCGCATCGCCAGGACTACAGGACTAAGGGCAAGACTGATCAAGAGCTTGTCAAAATATTCCATGTGACTATTTATGGCTATTTATTTCTTACGAGAGAACTGTAACTATGCTTTACCACACGAGAGAGAGAGAGAGATAGAGTGATTATATAAGGTTTCGAACGAAATTAATTTCAATTGAAACTGCTAATGAAATTATTTTATCTCTTGAGAGGTCGCACACAAGTATAAGATTCTTTTTTGCGCGCTCGGGAATTTACAGCGGTCAACGGTTTCTCAAGCAAGCTGCATGTTAAAGATGAGGAAGGAGTTTAATTATTTCTTGTAAGTCTGTAGTACGCGCTTGTAACAAATCAGATCAGATGCACGTTAGTTTGCTCAATTGACGATTCAGATGTACATATATAAGTATACCCTTAGAAGTTTCCAACAATCTTAAAGCTCTTGATCGGCAATGCTACATCTCACAAACTGTCTCTAAATATGTCGGGCGTGTTATATGTGTAAAAAAACTCCTCGTATTGAAGAACTGTAAGTTACACGACAAGACTATGCACGTTCTCTATGAAACTCAATGAAAACGAGAAATATCACCACAAACGAAAACGACAACGATAATCAGAATAATCGTAATCAATCAGTAACAATGAAAGAAACGATAATAGTGAGTGTAATGATAATGATCTAGCGTATATAGATATATATTTATACGTAGAAACACATTGAGTTTTGTGTTAACGAACGCTCGAATGCTCAAGAAAGGGCAATCGGCCTTGGTTTCAGGGTTACTAGGCAGGCACACCTTGCTGGTTCGGTCTGGTTGGGGCGGTGTCGCCCGACGCTCGTAGTGTCTCTCCGGCTGTTGATAAAGGGGGATCTGCAAACCCATTCGGAAACGTGTTCTCGCAGTGCGCCTAGTAGTCATATATTGCTTTTCTTTGTGTCTTTTCTTGCTCGTGTATATATGTTGGGGGAGAGGGAAAGTGCGGAGTTTTTACGTTGGTTTGTGTGCGTGCGTGCGCGCGCGCGTGTATGTGTGTGTGTGTGTGTGTGTGGTGTGTGTCATATATATGTATATATAGGCGAGGTTGTAAAGATAAGGGGATCGTTACGATTGTCTCACGCTATTACTTGTGAAGAAAGAGTGAAAGTGAGACATTAAAAATATTTTTCGATGAGATGATGAATTAGATTCTTCGTGAGATATAAACGGAGCGACGTGATAATCACGTTCACTTCTAATACCTTTGTTTCTAATCAGATATTGTACGTTTGTTTGATAAGTTTCCTATTTTGTGCGATCATGTTCATTCGGTATTTTAGCGATTTGTCCCTGTATTATTGAATGTTAATGATGAATTAACCTGTGTGACAAAGTATATGAAATAACAATGGCTTATCTCTTTCCAATAGTTGAAAGAAAAAAGTTTGATTGCAAATATTATATAGTATTATACATCATGCTCATTTCCCGTGCTTATTAAAGAAGCGAAAATAACTTAAAATTATTATATGAAATGATTTATAAATCAATGATGGTGAATACTTGCATTTCTTGATATGCGATATCACGCGTTCGTCAAAATTTATCTTTCGTACTCCGAAAATAGACTGTACTGATGACAACGATAACAAGAGGAAGATAATGAACCGGAAATATTTAGTTAATCTCCGCCTGAATAAATTTATATTTTTCAATAATTTTTTCAAATGTTTATAGATAGATACAGGATGGATATTCTCTCATTATCGTTGGCACACTTTCGATGCCATTGACTCGTCGATTTTTATTGAAACTTTAAGTCACTCTCGAAAGTAATACAAGAAGATTGATTTAATATTAAAAAAAGTGTTTCATCTCTAGTTTAACTAGGAAATAAATTATATCGTAAAATTGATCCAGAAAGAGAATAACGATTTTCAATTTCACTGTCGCATTTGTTTCGCATCGTTGTTCGTCTCGCGCATTTCTTCGCGGAAATAAACAGCAATTTGTTCGAATCTATGTTGGTACCTGCGCGTATAACGAATCTATCGCACTTTCCCTCGCGCTTACGTTGCTTTTCTTTAGCATATCTGATTTGTATAACAGAACAGAATAGAGAGGAAAAAGCAGAGGGAGGCAATAGTACGTTTCAAGGCAAGCGTAACAAGATTTTTAGCGAATGACAGACTGCTCTCTTGATATTGGACGAAAAGCCTGATTGATTCGTTGGTCTCTTCGCTGCGCCACGGTGTTACGAACTAACAGCGCGAGCACAAATAACGTAATACAATCGCCGACGTGCTAAAGCACCGAAAAATAGCAATGATTTTTCAACCCAATTATCCACGCAAACAATTAACGCAGTTATGACTGAATCGGCAAGATTATACATCGTGTACACGAAGTTCGTGCGCAGATTTTATGTGTTACTTGATTTATCATCTTGTCTATATAGAAATGTGTAAGTATTTCATAATTTCTTTTTTTTGCAAATGCAATAGCTACGTCGAAATATTTGATTTGAATTAATATTGATTTGGAGAAGATATATACTACTTATTTCAAATATGAAATGGAGAGATTTATATACAAGTATAGAAAAACCGGTTCAATCTTGCAGTTCAATCGATATAGAAACTAAGTATAGAAACCGGTTCAATCTTTTACCTTATTGTACACTTTCTGTTCTTTTCTTCATCTTTCGAAATGACTCTCCGAACGATCGACAGAGTGGCCAATACGTTTACGCGTCGCTTTGATTATCGAGTTAGCAGTATATGTACACTTGCTTAGAAGGGTAGTTACTTACCCATTGACGAATTGTACCATTACAACGTGCGCAAAATCGACATGTGCGTTATAAAACGGGAGTAAAAAGTAACGAGTAAAAGTAGGAGCAACGAACAGCAACAATTATCGGTGCATTGGAACGACAATGGAAAATATAATAAAATGTTGTTGTGTGTCGCGATGTACAATCGCGAGAAATTCTTTAGAATTGCATATATCATTTTATCACGGTGTGAAACTTTCTTTCTTCTCCACTGCTTTTTTGTCACGCTATCTCTCCGTTTGTATCCGCGAATTGTCCATTAAACGAGAGATATCGTTATCTGTTTATGGTTTTCACAGTGTAATGAGATGATCGAGCAAAGGAGAATGGTGACTGACTCGAATTTACAATTATTATTATCGCGCGAGGAAGAAGGAGAGAGAGAGAGAGAGAGAGAGGAGGAGGAGAGAGAGAGAGAGAGAGAGAGAGAGAGAGAAGAAAGAAAGAAAGAGAGAAAGAGAGGGGGGGGGAGAAAGAAAGATAGACGGAGAATTGGAGACTTTTTTGTAAAGTGGAAGTTTCAAGGCGTCACGGGATATATTGAGTAGAGCGATGGGAACATTTATTGTTCAGCAACGGAAAGCGAAACATAATCTAATAATCTGAGAGCCCAGTTCGAATTCGATTCCCCGCAGTGGTGGACTGAAACTTTTGTAGCAACGTTGCTGACAATAGTAATTTCATCAACAAATACATCCCATTTCCGCTGCGTATAACTGGAAAATATTTGTCCATTTACATACGACTGTGAGGTTTGTGTCGAAATGATGAAAATGTCGATGAAATTTTTATAGCGGACGTGAGTATATCCCCTTGTATACAGAGAAAGCGATATCTTTCGCTCCATAAAAGAGATTATCTGCCAGGCAGAATCCACCACTGACGTGAGAACTTGTAATTCAATGAGTCATTTGTGATTAAGTACAAAATCCTCACATACGGATAAAATATAAATACAAGTAGGCTGACTTGTTTCCTGTACCTCTGATCTACAACGACCGTATATCAGGCATGGACATAATTATTTAATATCCCGCGTAAATGCGGAAAACGATTTCTGCAATTGACTGATCCAAAAAACTGACAATCGACATTAATTAACTCTCATTAAACTTGATTGGCTGCGGGAAAAGTAATACAGTTTCGTAGGAGGTAGATCGTTCGTCAGCTTCCTGAATCATTAAAGGTTGTTAAATGCTTCTCTTTCTCTTTTTATCTATGAGTAGATTGTACGAGCTACACGTATTGTATGATATACAAAATGAGAACAGTGCCATATATATATAGTAAGTAGCAGAACACTCACATAGACCTCTTCCCATTGCGAGACATACCGCACCAGTCTTGACAAACGTAGTAATCTAACGAGTGACAACAGTTTTGCAAGCCTGAGAATCCTGAGAGCACGTCCAGCATGCAGGATCTGGAAGGACTCGCTGAAGTCCTGAAACTTGTGAATTTCTTCGTTATTCTGTGTTGTTATATTTGATTTGTTGAAACCTCTCGAATAGGTAACCGAGTTTGTAAAATGTATGCAATCATTTCGAAACTGCCTTATGGCACAAGTGGCAAAACTGTTAAGCATCGACACACAAGTGGCATTTTCATATATTGTTACATTCCATTTTTTTTCTTTGCCTATCTTACCTAAATTTTGCAATTTTCCTTGTTATCCTCACATTCTATTTCTATACTTTTCTCGAGATAATATTTTTACATTCTAACAAAGGACGCATATAAACTTGCTTTAACGAGTTGCACGATTTAGGATATACTTACTTGATTAAATATGAGGAAAATATAATCTAGTGGTATAGAAGAGATGAGGTCGAGAAAGAACCAAGTCCTGAGGTAGTGTTTCGCAATTAACTTCGGATCCAATATCACTTGTTCGGCATTATCCTGCTGCATTATACCTACAACGAAAGAATTGTATTCCAATATTTTCCACATCAACGATTTTCCAAAAGCAACGAGGCTAATGCCGCTGCCTCATGATCTGGCAGTTTGCCATTAATTCGACAGTTTGTCATGTCGCAGCTTTTGTGCGTCCATTATAAATAATGTGTAATTTTGTAACTCAAGTTAAAAATGAGGAGATGACAAACAATCTGTTATTGACAAATTGAGAAAAGAAGTGAGATTATCAAAGGCCGAATTGTAATACTTTCCTCCCTGCGCTGCGTCTTTTCCTATTTATAATATGTATATTCTATCTTTCGTTTTCTCGCTCTGTAATGTTGTCACGTGGTTAAATGCATACGAAACAATGGAAGGGTAAGAGAGGGAAAGTGTGGAAACGAAAATTGGAATATTAAATAAAAGAATACAGATCTTTGGCTGCCCGTATGTTATGGTACATGATATTTAAACAGGACGAATTGAACAATGGGGCCAAGATACTTTTAATTATCGCAAATCAACGCAACGCGATATGCGATTTTATGATACAATGATTTTCATCGGTTGCGGCTCGCGACCCAATTTCGCTTTGTCGGTTTGTGAAACACGTTTCAAATTAATCCCTGGGTAATAACGAAATGTCAAGGAGTTGGGAGTATTCTCTTCTGCACAACAATACTGTCATTGTGCATTGTTGGAGCCAGTGGAGGGCGCAAGTAGATGATCCATTCCTCATCGTGTTTGCGCTTTCATCTGAGATTTCGTCGGTATCTTATATTTGGATATACTTACTATACGTGGATATACGTGGTATGACAGCAAAAATAAAAAAAGAACGTAAAATTTTTGGTTCTTAATGTAGGAATCTTAAAAACCTTAAAAAAAATCGAAACGTCATTGTCTTTAAGAGGAAACAAAGTTATGTAACATTTGACATGACGTAATAAATAATATGTACATGGAAAAAAATGCTTGCATATTCATGAAAATACCGCGCGATATAAGCTAACATTCTAATAACATGAAAATTTCAAAAAACGGTTTTATATAGCTATATGATTAAAGATACATAGCCACACTGTTGTGGAAACGCAGCTGTTTTTATAAACAAGTTCTATTGGCCGGAGAGATGAGTTTATATCCCTAAACAACATGTGTTTGCGGAGTGTAGAGTCTTTTATTAGGTATAGATTAAGCGATGAGAATTTATTTAGAGAAAATTAATAACAATAATAAGTTGGACAGCGAATTGATTAATTGAATGATACTCACCCGTCCTGAAGTTGACGACGATGTCTACAAGGAATATCGTGTCGGAAAGGCAGTTGAAGGCTATCCATCTAGTGCTTAGGTCGTCATTGAAAAAACTAATGGCGACTGGCAGAATTATCAAATTAGCTACCAATAGGAGGAGCATGCAGAGGTCCCAGTAGAATCTGAAATAAAAATGAAGCATTTTCAATCAATTTTAATATGAAGCATATTAAATAAATTTATTGAAACAAAATTGGATAAATATACTGCCATTTGAAAAGTGAAATTTGGCCATTTAAAAAGTGAAATTTGAAAAGAACCGTCGAAGCGAGAACGCGTGATGCGATTTAGGATTTCTTCTCATTTCATTTTGATATACACGATAGTTTATATTCTCGATTTGAAACCAGTGCAGATTGTAAAGATTTGAACCATTTTTTTTTCACTTTTTACTTTTTTTATTCTATAATCTCAGTTAGAATATAACATAAGAAAAACTTATCTTTTTGTCTCACCGTAAATCTTCAAAAGTCGGATGTCATAAAGTCGATTTTTTAGATTTAACATATTCTTCGTAAAACATAGGTATAATATCAATGTAAAATATTTTTATCTTTATTTTTAACAATATATTAATAAATCTCTTTCTATATACGTAAATCTATTAAATCTATTAAATTTTAATATAAATATTTTTAACATATGTAAATATTATACTCGCGTTTGTTTGATTACATTAATACTGTAACATTAATACTGTTGTGTACTTTTCGTAAAGTACACAACTTGATGCAATGAAATTACAACTGTTTGATAAAAAATGCGTGCATTGTTCGATCTGGAATGATGAATGGCACACAGATAATTAATAAGACGAAGCTCTAGTACAAAAGCGAGTTCGAAAGCGGCTAGATTGATAACGTTTCGTCGAATATGGATCGCAAATAGCCATACGAATTTCTATCTTATTTTTCGCTCTCGTCGGGGATAAACTATACAAGTTTATTTCACGTTTTTGATCTGCCTAACCGGTTACAGAATCATTAATCTGCAAAGTTACGCTCGTGAATAAAAATGAGGGTAATTTTTCACTATTCATGGCGGAGGAGGTAGCAAGAGATTCATGGCGCAATGAAAGACACGGGGAAATTTTTCTCGGGAAGATTAGGTGGAAATATTTAGAATCAACTTTTCACGTTTTTTACACTTTCAAAGAGAATATTTCTAGTAATATTCTCAGCGAGTGCTCAAATCATCGTTCTGTAAATAGTCGATAATTGGCAAATTATTCTGACATTTGATCATAACAATCATATATTGGTACTCGATAAAATTCTAGCTCTAAATAATATAAACCATAGACAATATAAACGTGATTTCCAAATAAAAATGAAAAAACTACGAATATTAAATAATGATTAATTCTTGAAACAGCAATTTGTGAAATTGTAGTTCTTCAAATATTCAACAGTTCAAACGGAATCAATTACTAATCTGTAATAAATGACATTTTTAAGCGAAGAAAGAGATTGACTAAATTGGAATGAGATGAGATTATTTCTCACCGTTAATACTGTTCTTAACGTCAGATCTGATGACGTAAATGTGAGCCAATTGGCACGAGGTGGACATTTTCGATGGACATTGGTAACTTTGCGCGCTTCGCTGCAAATTGTGACGAACAAACTTGTAAAATTCCGCAACTTTGGAATTTTCAATCAGATATGTACGCGGCAAAGTTATGCACAGCTAGTTCATTTCAATGTAAAACGCTTTAACTTTTCCGCGATCTAATGGGAACGGTAAATAATGCAAAGTTTTGCTGTTTGAAGATAGTAAAATCGAATCGTATAAATGAGTATATGAACATTACTCGTCTTACTTTTTTTTACTCATATTATCTCTTCACTTGTATGTGTTTGACTTATTATTATTTTTAATATAACATTAAATACCGTCGTTATACACACTTCAAACTCGCAACATGTTTTTGTTAAGAAATATTTGTGATTTGTCATTGCATGTTAAAAAAAAAAGGTTTTATTCCTAAGTATAAATAAAGGCAATTGCGCAGATTATGATGACATACACATATAACTTTTGCGTGCTCGATTTTGATGCTACATGCGAGTACCTCCCGATGGCGTGTTCATACGCCGAAACACGTTGAGATACTTGTCCAAGGAAACAGTACTCGTGCGCATTCTTTGTCACGGAAATTTTGTATAGTTTTGCGTGCACCGCGATATATTACATGCCACTTTTCGAATAGCAGTGATAATGTCGGAAATATTTTATTTTTGCGTTGAATTGAAATCACTCGCAATATATCTGAATTTATTCTTTGATGCAAAACGATACTATAGTAGATACTCTATAGATTTGTATACAAAAAATATATTCCAGTAATCCAACCGTGATTATTCTTCGTACGTCCTCGCCGCAATTTAATTTAATTATGCGCAAACTAATCCGAGTTTAAGTGAACCGTATTGAAACACTGGACTAGAGAGTCGACATAAGTTTTCATTAATTAGTTAGATAATGCTTACGAACACCACTGATGATACATTTAAGAGTTTAATATTATCTCTTACTTGACTGTTTGGTCGCAGAATAACTGTAATAAAAATTTGTGAAAATTTTATCAAAACTTTTATCTTATTATGATTGATTTTTGGAAAATTTTAACAATATAAAAAATTATAAATAAAAAATTTATTATAATAATATAAGCAGTAGATGTATTTTAGAAAATAATGTGTGTGTGAGTGAGTGAGTGAGAGAGAGGGTGAGGGGAGAGGGGAGAGGGAGAGAGAGAGGAGGGAGGGAGAGGAGGGAGGAAGAGAGAGAGAGAGAGGAGGAGGAGGAGGAGAGAGAGAGAGAGAGAGAGAGGAGGAGGGAGGGAGGAGGGAGGAGGGAGGAGGAGGAGGAGG